CGAATTCCACAACGTCACAATTCATCTATTCTAAAAGGCAAAGTACCAACTATCCACTCTTGATCAGTTAGATCCACGAAGTATAGACTTAGAGTTAGGTTTTCATGAAAGTTATACTATTATAGCAAACGAAAACATCAATGAGGACAATCAAATGTATTCCAGCATAACATTACAGAATATCTAAGTATCAAGTTAGCGTTATTATTATCATTATTTTTAATACTACTATTATTACTTTGACGACTTTATAACCAAAATTTACACGTTTTTAACCTTTCTAAATTAAAAAATGTCATTGTCGCAATATGATTTAACTAATCATGAGGGAATTCCCGGAGTTCTAGTGAGATGCCGTGACCAGTGGAGTTAATTCGTGTCGGGTAGAGACAGGTATCTATCTCAGTACAATGGAAGATGGTCGCGCAACCTCGTGGATTGGTTGAAGTTAGACATTAACACCATTGAATGCAGGGTCAATGTTCTAGAGGTTAAGTGTTCACATGCGAGATCGAAGGTCCTGGGTTTGAACTGTTTTGGAGCAGGATCGTGGATGAGCACTGCTGAGAAGTACTGTAATAAAACTAAACAACCATTCAGTGCTTCCAGGTTTTTAATGGTGATCTAACATCAATCGGTTCATGATCTCAATCAAAAATGTAATAATCTTCACAATCCTCTATAGTGATAATCATTATAAGTTTCGGCTTTTGTTTTAAAAAAGTAACAACACAGTTTTAAATTTAACATAGTTAAACATGGTTGTAAGTGTATACATTGAGCCTGAATATCCATCAATAATAAATCATTGAAATAAAAGCACAACACAATATACTGAACGTATTCATGATAACAAAACAAAGTGAAAACGATATCCAAAAAGACTTCAATAAAATGATTTTAGTTTTATTTTAGTAGATTTTTATTTAGATTTTCATAATGTTCGGTATAGAGTTTTGAATTTGTGTTTTTTTTCCAACACTATATACTACCAAACGGTAGATTATCATTACTTCCAGTCAATATTCATTTGTTATTTGAATTGGTCGTTATTGCGTTTTGTTCAATATCCAATTGTTTACTTCAAGGTGGTTATGATTTTAATGATTAAAATAAACCTAAACAGATAAGAACTTTCCAGTTATTTTTCAATATTCATATTCTTGAAAAATCAATCACTCAGATGATAGACAATGATAGATAACAAATTTAGAAAGTTATCACTGAGACAAACATCAACATTGTCTCTTAATCATTATATATTTATTTTATGGAATCTATTATACGAGTTTATTATCAATGTTTTTAGATAGCCTTTCTATAGTTACTAGAATGAGAATGGTATTATTAAAACGAAAGTAAATGAATTTCAATTTCTGTTCATATATAATTGGTATTGAAATTTAATGCATTCGATTAATGATAAATATACACTTGAGATTGTCAATCAATATCGGTTATTTATTGTCAATCATTTGGTTCTAGAAACTGCTGATGATTATAAAGAGAGTAATATATTTGTAATATTTCAATAAGTAGCAAAATTAGGTTTTTTGACGTTTCACGTTTTAGTGTAAGCCAATTCTTCAAAGAATAAATAACCAAATCAAAATTAATCCAAATATAAATAGTACAAAGAACAACGCAAGAATATTATGAGATAAATCTAGTCAACTCATACATAATATTCTTGCGTTGTTCTTTTGTACTATTTAAACGTGATTTGGTTAATTTTATTCTCTGAAGAAGTGGCTTACACTGAGTCACGAAATGTCAGAAAATTTAATTTTTCTACTCATTGGAATATTACAAATATATTGATGAATTTATTTATAACAATCTACCCAATAATCAAGTTATCCGAAATTATCAAGTCAAACTTCTGGTAATAATTAGTTGAATAATATTACTTATTCTGGTATTATTTGTGAGTTAGATTGAATTGGAAATGGATTAGTTTGTTTTGCATCAGTTTATATCGTCTATAAAGATAAATTAAGTTGACTTCAAACAATCTGAAAAAAAAGTATTTAATCATACAGTGTTATAATGAACTCGAATAGTTTGATGTATCAATGGGAGTTTCGATTTAACTTACAGCTGTTTAATCATATGATATGCTCAGAAACTAGACAACAGTTGCTTTCATCTCATATTTTCTTCCATTATATTATTGCGTCATTTTACTGATCGATAATGTTAGTATAAGAAAAAAACGTACTGTGATGTAATTGACTAACTTACATTTTTACACACACATTACCCAAAATAACAAATAAAAAGGTTAACTTATTGTTTGTTCATCATTTTTGGTTCTGGATGTTTTTTTTTGTTTAGTAATATAAATAAAACGCAATAAAAGAATCCGTTTCCATAAAAAAAACAAAGTAAACAACAGACTAAGTTCATGTAATATTGATATTCAAATAACCCTATGAAAGTTTGACAGTATAAAAATTATATGAAAGGATTTGAACATTTGTTTTCAATATAAGTTCGTTATACAATAGAAATATTGAATTAAATCACAATTTTAAAGTTCTTTGTTGAACCATAGATCAATTTCTATTGTGAAGTTGCCAAATAAAACAAACAAAATAATTGTAAATTGATTTATGATAGTCAATTGTGTTAATATGTTACAGAAACTATTCTCAAACTATATCAATCATTGAATGAACTATCAACATAAATAGGTATCATTACCAAGGTTCGATTTGATAATCTCAAATAAATTGGGCATTGAGTAGATTGTTATAAATAAATTCATTAATATGTGTAATATTCCAATGAGTAGAAAAATTAGGTTTTCTGACATTTCGTGACTTAGTGTAAGCCAAATCAAAATTAATCCAAGTTTAAATAGTACAAACGGAACAACAAGAATATTGCGTCACATAATATCTAAAACTGAACGGAAACATTTATTCACATTAATCATTTTTTGTTAGATAACTGTTTTACTTCTTCAGTATTAATTACTCACGACCTACCATAGTGTCTAACTAACCTCTTTATATTTCGAGTCGAGTACCATGTAATTTAATCATTTATGTCACATAATAATCTTGTTGTTCCGTTTGTACTATTTAAACTTGAATTAATTTCGATTTGATTATTAATTCTTCCTTGAAGAAATGGTTCACACTAAGTCACGAAATGTCAGAAAATTTAAATTTTCTACTCATTGGAATATTACAAATATATTATTTATTTACATCTACATAAATAATTAATTTGAGTATAGAAATATGTTTAAGCAAGCGTTTCTTGATTCTTTTAAAGTGAGTTGTTAAATCACTATTTAAAGAGAAAAGAAACTGTTTAAAATCTAGTTTAGTAGTGTACATCAAAATACTTTAAGGTCAAACAACTAATAGCTTATGTTCATTCTTCTTTTGTAGTAGTAGTAGTAGTAGTAGTAGCAGTAGTATTAGTATTAGTAGTAGTAGTAAAACATTACTTATTTAGATATTTGAAATAACTTTTAACCTCCATTACTATTAGATAACTTTATTATTATTAATGGCTTTATTCAATGTTATATTTTGGTACAATATAGAATTCTCAGCACAGGGTATTTCAACAAGTTTCTTACACAAGAAAAGAAACAAAGACAAAAAAAGGGAAAAAAGGTTTAAAAAAAACTTGAAAAACTGTATAACTTTTCAGATTGGAGACATGTTAAGAATGCAGGTTATTGACTAGGTTAACTCTAACAACCTTTTCGTCACAAAGTATATTTGCTATGTAAGGTATTATAGAACTTTCATACTTTTGCTTGCGTGCATGGATTTTAATGTAATTACATCTCGTTCTACCAGAAGATATACAAGGAGAAAGATAAGAGTGAAGGGGATGGTTAGTATCTGATAAAAATAACACATACCAGGAGTTTGCACGACTTTAGATGTCTATCCACAACCATATTAATTATGACCTCGAAAGATTCGCCACACATCTTGCTAACTGCCTTCAGCACTCCCCGCAATACAGCAAAGTCTTTTCTCAAACGTCCGGGAAAGAATAATGGAGAACAGTAAAGAATAATAGGTAGTAGGTAGGAATGGACAAATTGTAAGAGTAAATGACGAATAATCCCTAGAGTATGCAATCTCTTTATGCAGTGATTCAGACGGAAAACCTTCTTCAATAACAATAAAACGTGGGAAGACCAAGAGAGATCAGATGAAAAGGTAACACCATGATAATTGGCCTTCGACACTGTGTTTATCAAAGAGTCTTCAATGGTACAAGCATTATGGGATCTCAAAATGGAGTTTAGATTCCGTTCATGTCTCATGCTAAAGTTAACAGCTTGACATTTAGATGAATTAATTATAAGACGGTTACCAACAGACCAACAATCACTACGAGACAAAAACTCATTCATCTCTACGGGATGTAAAGAGGAAGAGATAGACACACATACAGTGGGATCATCCGTATATTTCACAAAAGTGTTCTCTGTGGAAGATGGCAGGTCATGCATAAAAAAAGAGAGAGGAAGAGGTGAAAGAACAGCTCCTTGTGGTACACCTTCCTGAGACAGTAGAGACTCTGAACACCTTCCTCCAAATACGGTGTACTATTTCCTTCCAGGGAGGTAGTAACGTAGACAGTTGGTTATCCAGCTTTCAGTGTTGACGCTGATTAGCTTCTTAAGTAAACGTTGTCTTGATATAGAATCGAAAGCTGAAGTATAGTCCAGAAACGCGCATTGAACATACTTCTTACCCCTTTTTAAGTTGAACACTATATTGTGGTGCAGAACAGCAACAATATCTAAAGTGCTTCTTTTGCATGTGTAGGCAAACTGATACGGATCAATATGCTGTTTTGTGCATTTAAACAGATTAATCGTTGTAATACCTAATTTTTGGTTTCAATCTGTGTAATAATTTGTAGTATTTTGTTTGCGATAGTTTATTTATATAGTTTTACCAATAAAGTGAATTTATTTATTAACTTATAGTTTTCATTTTCTTATTATTTAATAGAGTCTTATAGATCATGCAAAGAATCTGCTAAGCACAATGGAAAACTGAAATGGTTGAAGAATAAACATTTTAATTCTGTTTAATAGAACAAATAATAATTATGCAAATAAATCTATTTGTTTAGTGTTTAAAACATACTTTTTGATATTGTCATATTTTTTGATGATTAAGTTTATTTCACCGTGTTCAAACTAACGCAGTATATTCAATTATTTAATAATTGAATTCATGAGTCAATTGCATCTTGATCACCATGGAAAAACCTGGAAGTACGAGACGGTCGTTTTACCCTGGTATAGGACTCCTCAGTAGTGCACGTCCATGATCCTGACCCACGAGATTCAAATCGAGGATCAATTGGTTTCGTGCGTGAATGCTTAACCTTTAGACCACCATTCAGTCATGAATTTAAGCGTTCGCGCACGAGACCAATAGGTCCTGGGTTCGAAACCCGCGAGGCAGGATTGTGGATACGCACTGCTGTGGAGTCCCACAGTAGGATGAAATGGCTATCCAATGCTTCCATCTTTTCCATGATGGTCTAGCCTCAATTGACTCATGAATTCAATTATTACATTACTATAATCTCCACAAAACTCTTCTCTGATTATATTCACTTATATTACAAACGATTGCCATCCCTGAAGTTTATTACTATCCAATTAAGACTAATCACAACAATCGTGTATAATGGAGAACAAATGAAAGAAACTACATACCATCATAATTTTTAGTCTGAAGATTTGTTCTTTCTCAATAATTTTCTATTGTATTGTAAATCAAAAAGAAACCTTTAAAGTTAAACGACTCTCTCATTTACTTATAGTACAATTATCATGAAAGTAAGTTTTATGATAAATCAATAATTTTTAAAAAAAATTTCATTATCCTAATTGAGTAATTAAAACAAATAGATTTCACTTTCTTTTTAACGTCATGAAAAAGAAAATTTATACAATGAACATAGTAATTCAATATTAAAACATAGAACAATATTGTGCTTTATAGTAGGTGCTAACTATGATATAATCATTGTTAGTTAAATGATTCTATTATGTTATATTCAAGTTTTCTTAATTTCTTAGGAAGATTTAACATTTTAATGTATGAAAATTAAATTTCCAATTTTCATTTATCAAATATTCAAAATTCACGGTTGAGGTTAGACGTTAACACCATTGGATGCCGGCTCAGTGGTTCAGTAGGTTTAACGTTCGCGCGTGAGACTGAAGGTCCTGGGTTCGAATCCCGCGAGCGGGATCGTAGATGCGCACTGCTGAGGAGTCCCACAATAGGACGAAACGGCCGTCCAGTGCTTCCAGGTTTTCAATGGTGATCTAACATCAATCAGTTCATGATCTTAATCAAGAAAAGACCTTAAACGAAATTCAATTCTTCAAAAATTTCTTAAATCTCTTTAAAATAAATTCATTGCTTTGAATGTTACACTACAATACGTTCTTATACTATTGGTTACATTAGATTTACTTCATATTCTTTCGATGAGATATTACACAATACATTCTTCCTTTTGTAATGTTATATATCAACTTGGCGCCCAAATTTTATGATGAAACTATTTAAAACGAATTTAAATGAAAGTTCTTATATAATATTATCTATCATTGAACATAGAAAATAGTATTTCTTTATCTTAGAAAAACAAAATCAGTCAAAAAAAGATTCGTGTAATTTACGTTTTTTGTTAGAAATATGAAGGAAAAGAAAAAAACCCTCCATTCTATTTGAACAAAAAATATTGATCATTTTAAACATTTGTAAAAGATGGATCTTATTTACGCTTACGATCGGATTTATGTCTTCTATTGAGATATTTATTTTAAGCATTATAGACAACATCAGTTATTTTATAATTATAAACTGATAGTTGTAACTAAGTGTCATTTTCAAAATGGAATTCACTTATTTACTGGGAAAAAAAACTAACACACATCACCAATTGCTAATATATACGACATAAGAAATCAATAATTTTCCTATCTACAACTTCATATGATTAGATAGAACCAGACTATATACATAATGCACCAGTGTTATATGTATTGTTATGCATGGTACATTGTTAAAAAGGGAAAAATAAACTATGTAGGGAAAAATTTAAATGTATATTCATATAAAACTTACGAATCAATGTGAAACCTCTAAACTGATGATTGTCTTTCATTATCTAAATAAAGATCTTATACATCATAGATGTTATTAAATTGAATGATATCAATAAGGGTTTTTATATCCACTTGAACTTAAGAATGGTTTTATAATCTGATAGAAGAAATCTCGTCACCGAATTAAAATCTTATATTTGTGTATATATATATATTCAACAGGTTTCTATTAGTGAATTCGTAATACATGCTTTATATAGTTTGAAAAATTAGTTCTGTTAAGTTCAGAGACTAAATATCGGAGAAATGTGAGTAGTTTTTCGTCAACTTGAAAATGAATGATTAGAGCATAACTAATTTAAGGGAACTATTCAATATATTCATTATTATTTGATTTCTTGTTTCGTCTAAACTTTATGGTGGTATAAGTGATTGACATAATTCTAAGGTAATCAGTAACGATCGGTTTATTTGCTCGGCAAACATCTTTTATAAATTGTTTTGATGGTAACTTCTAAAAGAAATATATTTTATAAAAAAGTACAAATTTTAGACGGAAACTCAAAGGTAAAACTTGACAGTTAGCAATTCTATTCACTAATATTTATTTATATACATTCAAACATCATTGTTTACGAAATGCTCATCTAAATGTAACCGAATATATTTACTTAGCAGTTCCATATAGTTTTACTGGAACAATGAAGTCGAACTAAAAAATTGAGTAAGTTTCAAAATAAACTGATTGGAGCATTTTACCAATAGTCTGTATAATTTCAAAAATATTAGTTTGAAAAAGATATATATATATATATATACATATAATAGTCGTTCAAGATGGAGACGCAGTAGTGCATATTACAGCAAATCATTCTGTTAAGCTCAGTATACACATTCCCGAAACATCATTCCATTGAGATCACTTACTACATTATTATTAGTCTGATAACATAAATATTATCTCTAAACCATACAATTTACTGACTAGTTTATCCATAATATTTCTAACATATTCGTAGGTGTCATTGCCATGGTCTAACTTGGTAATTTCAAATAAATTGAGTATTGGGTAGATTGCGATGTCTCAATGAGTAGAAGAATAAAAGTTTTGAATTTTCAAACTTGTCGTGATTCAGTGTAAGCCATTTCTTTGGAGAATATGTCAGCAAATTACAAATATGTACAAATATTTATTATTTATTTCTAACATATTGTTTTGTATGGCTTTATCCTAACTTCAAACTAGTATGAACATGATTCACTCAGTAATGTTCTAAAGACATCACAGATAAACGTCAATCTTGCGCGCGTATCTATTTGAATAATTGATAAAATTATAATAAGATACAGTGGTTCACAATGGTTAGTTCCATACATTATGCAGTAGTCACAAGTGAATGTCTGTAAAATCTTTCTAAAATGAACCTAGCAAGTATCCAATACTTCTTGGTCTTTATTCATCTTAAATATCATATCTTTTATGATGCTAAGTATCTTCGTATTCTATACGAGTATAATTTAAGAACATTTTGAAAGAAAATCATTATAATTCCTATGACGTCAAATCGTGTCCGACTAAATTAAATTACAGTATTAAATAAATTTGTACTTTGTAAGCAATTGTTAGACAAGAAATATTTTAGGCGGAATGATCACTTGCTTTGGTTTTGATGGCATCCATACTCAAATTAGTAACTTTAAAACCATTTTCAATCGCAAGTTATTAGTGTTTACTATACAAATATTGTGTTTAATGAAAGTGAGAGTTGTTAGAATTCACAAAATTAATATATTGAAGATTTATTTTATTTTAAATATTTTAAACATAAATTCAGACTACATTATTCCAGTCTGAACGGAAAACGTTTTTTTAGTAACTGTCAATCGAGAAGATTTCATTCATATCCAACATTATTTAACGTATACAATAGAATACAGATATACTTTACTGGTGAGTAACAAATAACATAAGACCCAGATGAAAAAATTTTATTACTCACCTTCAACGGTTCAATTCCGAAAATACTTTCATCCAATATGGAATTAACATTTTTGATAATGATACATCAGCTTGTTCATCAAAAGAATGTAATGAACTCTGAGGAATAGACAAATCATTGATGAATTAATACTATTCCCTTTTCAGATTAATATTTAAGTACATATTTATGTAATAAACATTTAGAAGACGTCACTATTTTTTTCCCCTGAGAGTATTCTGTGATAAAAGTCAATATTTAAATTTAATAAAAATTTATATTTTGTTTGTTTTTTAAAAATAATGATTAATGCATAAAAATTCTCACTGGATGAGTCGTTTTTAGTTTCCAACTTAGCAACGATTGTATTCAAATTTGTAAAGCCCATATTTGGTAATTACATGAACAATTAGAATTATCTTGTAAATAGAAATCTATTTATGTAAATGTATAGACGTAATGAATATGTATGGTGATAAGCATTTTTCTTGTGTAGGTTATTTACTATTGGCTTAGGGAAGGATATATCTCTTTGATAATGACTATTTCGGCTTGTTGTTGAATTTAAGAAAAAAAACAGCTTAATAATCAATGTAACAGGTGTAAATGATAAGAGATGAGGGTTGGTTGAAAACTTATTGTTAGTGATTTAGTCATCATTCACTGTGCAGAAGCACATTTAACAAACATTTCTTAATCAGTACCATATAAGAACGTTTACTAATTTAATGTAATGACCAGAAAACGAATATTTATTATTTTAATAGTTGAGATCATGAGTCAATTGAAGCTAGATCACCATGGAAAACATGGTAGCACTGGAAGGGCGTTTCATTCTACTGTAGGACTCGTCAGCAGTGCGTATCTAAGATCATACTTCGTGAGATTCGAACCCAGGACCTATTGGTCTCGTGTGCAAATGCTTATTCATTAGACCGCTGAGCAGGCATTCAACGGTGTTAATTTCTAACTTCAACT